CCCCCCCACCCCAGAACCTGGGCCCCCCTGGACGAGCCAACCCTGGTGGGAGTGGCGTGGTGGAGGTGTACAACGCCCCGGCACCCCTGGCTGGGAGTGGAACAGTGGAGATCCAGGCGCTGGGCATGCAGCCCTACCCACCCCTGGAGGTGAGCAGAGCCTGGGGCGGGGGGGTGGAGCAGGGGAAGCTTGTCATGGCCAGCATGGCTAACCTAGACCCTTTCTGAGCATCATTATATACCCAGCACTCTGCTGGAGATACTGTGGGGGACAGAAGCAGACCTGATCCCTGCCCTCAGAGTACACCTTATCTTGGGGGAGAAAGACTTTAATCAAGTCATCATGTCTATAAATGGAAACCACAAAACCATGAGGAGGTAGTGTGAAGTGGCGATCGTAGCAGGAATGCAGGCTGCCTCCGGAGAGTGCTCAGAGCAGTCCGAGTACCTGCCTCTTGGGGAGAGAGTTCCAAAAAATGATCTGCATGAGTGTCATATTTTTAACAAGTTCAGCATATCCGTTAACTATGGTTGTGTCAAAAATAGCCCCAGCGCCACAGTGGTGTAGCGCTCTCACAAGTATAGTGGTCAGCTGGGCAAGGGCTGATCCTGACTGCCCTCAGCCACGTGGCTAGAGCTGGGTTACTAGCTGCCAGCTGCTCTGGGATAGCCTGGGCGGGGTGACCCAGCTCTGCTCTGTGCAACTCTCATCCTCCAGCAGTGAGCCAGTGTGAAGGCCTAGGCTGGTCAGTGACAGTCTCTCCCCCATTGGTCCCAGCAGGTCACAAGGCTTGCTTAGATTTTGGGGGGTAGGGAAACAGATGCCACCTCTTCATGGAAGAGCTACAGAGTCACACCACAAAGCACATGAGTATGGGGAGCAGTGAAGAAGTGAGACCGTGATGTGGTCACTCCTATGGACCATGCTCATTCCCTGCTGAAGGGCTCTGAGCTACAAGCACTCTGCTCAAGGTGCTGAGAGTTCATAGAACCTTCCTAGTGCTAGAGGCTTGTTGGTGACATAGGAGCCTGCTTGCTCTTGAGGGCGTACTAACTCAGACCTAGAACCTGGCCATACAGATACCCCAAATCAAGTGGCAGCTGTGTGTGAAGAGAACCAGACTGGCCGGAAAGTCCCACCACCAGCATATGATGTTGTGAGAAGCTACGGGGAGATTTTCCTGGCCTAGGAGAATAAAGCAAGCTTCCCTGAGGACTTTGTCAAATAAAACAAAGTTAAGGTGCTGAGTGGATGATGGCAGCCCTGTAGGCAGAGGGGCTGGCACAGGGGCGCTGCTGTTGATTATTTTCCACATTGACAAGGTTCTCTTTGAGGGCAGAGCCTGAGTGGTCTTTGATTCTGTCAAGGCAGAATATTAGAACCTAGCAGAGTTCCTGGCCCTTGGGGCTGGGAGTAGGGCCTTCTGGCCTCAGTTTCCTCCCCTCTGAAATGGGAACCCCTCTCCTAGGGCTTTTGGGATAATGGGAGCTAACTCAGTGGCAGTCACATAGTAGTGACTTGCATAATGGGTGAATTCATTCATGTGACAGGTTATGTACTGAGTCCTGTATCGATCAGGAAAACAGAAGCACTCCAGCCATTCCTGGCAGATGGACTTAATAATGCAGGAAGTTGGATGCTTACAAAGAGAATGAACTGGCCAGAAGAGCAAAGTCAGGGTTGACAGACTCCTCTGATTTTCAGGCTGACCAGCATCACCTGACACCGTCAGGACCCTGCAATGAATCTGGGATTCCGTGTGGCTGGTGTCCAGGCTGCCCTGCCAGCCTTGGGGCTGGTGGCCAGACGTCCCTCAGCACTCAGGACTACAAACCTCTCTGTCTCTGATGGCTGCTAGAGAATGGTTTCTCCCTCCCTCTGCCTTCCCTGTCCCATGCAGATGCTTCTCATGGACAGAACCTAATAATTTTGTTCTTGGAACCATGCTGGTAAAGGAACCTGGAAATGTGGTTTTAAGCTCCCCACCCTTGCATTTCAGTGGAGGATGTGGGAAAGGTACGAAGGGCCAACAGATAAGATCTGGTTGACGCACCTACTGGTGCCATCTCAGACACCCAGTGCCTGCTAAAGGAATCCATTCATTCAGCAAATGTTTATTGAGTGCCTGCTGTCTACCAAGATTTGCTTTGGGCCTGGGGTTAGAGCATTAAACAAAGGCAGAACAATCCCTGCCTTCATGGAACTAGGCAGGTAATAGAGAAGATAAGTAAAGTACATAATTCATTAGATAATAAATCTAAGGGGAAAAGTAAAGCAGAGAAAGATAGGGAGCAAAACTTTGGCCAGGTTAGCCCGATGATTGATGAATAAATGAATGCACACGTGAATTATTCACAATGTACCAGAGTTAACTAAGTTTGAGTGACCTGGAATCCATTTGATAATTTCTTGTGGCCTCAATGTCAGTTCTCAGTTGAGGGATGCCTGCTTGTGTGTCAAGAAGGGAGAGTGAGAAGTGGAATTGCTGAGAATATGACCCTTCTGACTTCCTGGTTCCTTGGTGTTAACAAAATGCTAACAACAGTAATGGCTGTAATAATAGCTCGTGTTTGTTGAGTACTTAGTATATGCCAGGGACTGTTCTAAGCTCTCAGTGGCCTAATGAGAGAGGTACTATGATTAATCCCATTTTACAGATATGGAAACTGAGACAGAAAAGTTAAAATACCTGTTCAAGATCATTCAGGTGATAAATAGTGGAGTCAGGATTTGAACCCAAGGAGCCTGACTGGCAGCTGGCTGTCTTCATGAAGCTAGTTCTAAGGGGTCTTGGGAATAGTTGGGCTGACAACTTGGAGAGGTTAGGATGGCGATATAGTAGGGAGTGGCTGAGGTCAGCTGTCGCCACAGTGAGGGCCCCCTGGCTTGGGCAGCTCTCTCTTCTCCCTTCCCAGATGTCTTTTTCTGAATGTGTCATCCTTCTAGGTGCCAAACCAGTGTGTGGAGGCTCCAGTGTACCCCACCGCTCCAGTGTATAGCCCTGGGAAACAGGGGTTCAAACCAAAAGGACCAAATCCCGCCACCCCCATGACCAGTGCCACAGCAGGCACAGTGACCACCTTTGACTCCACACCAACGCTGAAGACCCGACGGGCCAAAGGTGTCGGTGGACTCCAAGAAGGTGGGCCTGCAGCTGGCCAAGGGTATCTTCCCTCAACATTGCCCTGTCACAGACTGCACAGTCTTCATTTTTATGGTGGTGGTTAGGACTAAGTTTGGCTGCATGAGATGGAAAACTTAAGAGTAACTTTAAAATAATAGAACTTAATTTTTCTCAAAGCAACGCCATTTTGTTTGTCTTTCTGCTCTATTTTCCCTAGAGCATGGCTTCCGTTACCCAGATGCCTCATTGTGTAAGTGGCTGCTAGAGCGCCAGTTCTCAATTTTATATTCCAGGCAAAAATAGGTGTCTCCCAGCTGCTAAAAGTTCTATGATGCTTTTGCTTATATCTCATTGGTCAATACTTAGTCACATCACTATGAAATTGTAAAGGAAACTGGGGAATGTGTCTTTTAGCTAAGAACATTGATGTCTTACTATGTAGAAAGAAATAGGGGAGAGTAGTTTTTGGACAATGTCCGCCAGCCTTTTAGAATGCTGAGTTTGGGGTTGATGTCAGAAAGTGGTGGACGTGGGAGAGAGAGCAGAGAAACTGAGAATTTTTCAGAGGCTTTCTAGGCAATTCCTCCCTCCCTCTCTTTTCCCCCTTTCCTTCCCTCCCTCCTCTCCCTTCCATAAATATGCTCTGAGCATCTGTATGCCTGGCTTACTCTCAGACTGAGGATCCAACATCTTGATGATTCCTCTGCCTTCAGTTATAATTTAATGGGAGAAACAGACAGGGAAAATGGGATAAATATTTTTTGACTTCTCTAGGAAGGCGATTAACAAGACACTATGATTGAGAATACTGGGTAAAGGCTAGAAAATGCAATCAGCCTGTGGCGATCTGGGGAAGCCTGTCAGGCAAGGGGGGACAGCAGATGGAAAGGCCCTGAAATAGGGCCACGTTTCGGGCCTTTCAAGGTAGCAAAGGGTCTGCCACTGCTGGATGGAGAACATGACGAGGCTGGCAGGAAGCAGGGAAGGCAAAGGTCTGCAGACCCAGCAGAGTTGGCTTTTATCCTGGAGCAGGGGCCCTTTGGGGGCTGAGCATGTCCTGGGCTTCCCTCGCTCAGGCCCTGTGAGAGCCTCACCTGGGCTCTGCCCCCTGCCTGTCCATAACTGTAGACCTCCCAGCACTGGACTGAATGTCCCCAGGCCAAGCGTTAGAGTGGCTGGAGGCTGCCCTAGGTACCCTCAAAGGTGCCCCCAGCCTTACCAATCCCCTCCTCCCACTGTCTTTCTGCTGCAGGGAAACCCAAGGCCCAGAAGCTCAAGTGCTCATACTGTGACAAGTCATTCACCAAAAACTTTGACCTGCAGCAGCATATCCGAAGGTAGCCCGGCCTGGTGGGGTGGGGGGCTCCTGGGCAACCCAAGCTAGGGGCCAGCATTCAAATGGGAGCAAAACTCCCCTTGAGCCCCTAGCCTGTTGGTGACACAAGCCTGTCCACTCTGCTGTGATGTTTAGGCCTTCAGTCCAGGTTAGTGTGGTTTGCCCTCTGCACGCAAGAGCAGCAGGGGATCTGTGAAGGCTGAAGCGCCTGTAACGGGGTGATCCAAACAGCAAAATGGGGGGAAGAAATGTCCTCAGACCGACAGGGGCTTTGCAGGCATGAAGGCTGCCTCGTTCGTCACCTGTGCAGAAAGGCCAGCAGGGCTGCCCTGCCCTGTGAACAGGTGGGAGAGCTGGCTCCCGCCCAGGGCTCTTGAGATAACTCCTGTCCAGAGAGCGGGCATGGAGGGCTGGCTTTGTTCAGTGTTCCTCACAGATGGGATACACTGATACAGGAAATTGTAGGTGGTTCACTGAAAAGTGCTGAAGACACAGTGAGAAAATTATACTTCATATAACAAGAACATCTTGTATGGACACTGCTTAATGCTTCTCACACATTTGCTCATCATTATAACAGAGAGGAGGGGAGCGGCTCACGGCATCAACCTTGGATTTGAGCCTTAATCATTCAGGCAGCTCAACAGTACAATGTCCTGCAGCATTCCTATTTTTTTTTTTTTAAAGATTGATTGATTTGTGCATACAAGAGCTGAGTATAGACCAGAGGTGTAGGGGGTGAGAGGATTCCCCAAAGACAGAGTGGGGAGCAAAACAGGCAGATGTACTGAAACACACTGCAGGTGAGGCAGGAGACGTCTGCTGCGCCATGTGGGTCAGCTCCCTGGGCGGGAATTGAAAGGTCTGCAGTGGCTGTGGATTGCTTCATAGTGCTGAGACTTAACACCTTGCACCACCAGGGAGCCCCTCTTGTAGCATTCCTGACCTCTGACCATTAGGTGCCAAGTGTTTCATGGAGGGCAAAATCAGTCTCAGTTGGGAGCCACTGGTCAATGCTAGTGCCATCCAAACTAGGATGCAAATGCCCAAACTGGCTCTGTCCAGGAAGCAGGCTCATATAACCTGTATGACTGTTAGGCGTTAGAGCTGGTGCTAGTGTGAACTGAGAAACTGAATTTTTAATTTTAATTTCTTTATTGGAAACTTATTTTTTAATCAAAATAACTGATTTATAGTAGGTTTCAGGTGTAGATCACAATATTGTTTTATAAATTATTACTTTATTGTTCTTTGTATTTATTTTTATTTAAATTTATGTATATTTTAGAGCATTGTTTTGGTTTTTGGTTTTTTTAAAAGATCTATTCATTTATGTGTACAGAGCTGGGGTATAGGCAGAGGTGCAGGGGCGGTGAGAGGATTCACCAGAGACAGAGTGGGGAGCAGAACAGGCCGACTGATGAACTCATGCTGAAGTGGCTTTAGCGTCTTAGCGCTTTGCTTAACCTGCTGCGCCACTAGGGAGGGCCGACACTTCTTTTTTTAAAGATTTATTGTTTATGCATCAAGAATGGATATAAGACAGGTGTGGGGAGGTGAGAGGATTCGTCAGAGACAGAGTAGGGAGCAGAACAGGCAGAGTAGCTGAAGTACACTGTACAGCACTGCTCATTTTTGTACAATATTTGCTTTCTCCACTCAGGTGCAGTCCCCACAGAAGCCTCACCACCAGGTCACTCGTGCACTAACACCATAGTCTCTTCTGCTCTTCCTATCCGTTTTCACCCCTCTGCCTCACCCTCTCCTGATTTATAGTTGACTGTTAATTATTATTTTCCTGATCCCTTATTATATGCCCCTATATTCCTTCTATATCTGAAACCATCTACTTTTCTTTTTCCTCCTGACTTACTTTGTTTCCGTAATAAGCAGTTTCCATACACAATAACACATCCGAAGCCATGTCTTTTGAGTTCTCCGCATTTTGAGAAAGTGAGTCCATCTGAAGGGTGATACTAAATAGGGGGTCAGAGTCCTGTGCTGTATGAGCAGCATTTCTCCTTCAAATACCAGAAAGTCCCGTGTGAACGAGCGTAAGCGTTAGGAGTGCCGTATGTCGCAGCATGAGACGTCCACGGGAAGGCCCGCGCCAGGGCCCCTTGATTCAAACGCTCCCTGGTGTCGCCACGCCAGGGTCTTTCCGCCTCGGCAAGCAGGCTTGTCCTCGTGGGGTGAGGATGGTGGCCAGGGTGCGCTGTCCCGGGCGGGGGCTGCGCCCCAGCGCCTGCGCGGCAGCTGAGGAGGCTTGCCTCCCACAGTCACACCGGGGAGAAGCCCTTCCAGTGCATCGCATGTGGCCGTGCCTTTGCTCAGAAGTCCAACGTCAAGAAACACATGCAGACCCACAAGGTGTGGCCTCCCGGGCGCAGCGGTGGCACCATCTCTCGAAACTCTGTAACGGTACAGGTCATGGCGCTGAACCCCAGCAGGCAAGAGGATGAGGAAAACACAGGTGGGTGGCAGTGGGGAGCACTGCCCTCCCCATAACTCTACTGTAGCTTCGTGGGCGCGTGTGTGTGTGACCTCGGGCAACGCCTTGGCCTCTCTCTGAGACGGGCATAGGATGAACGGAGGGATGACCCGCTCAGTGTGGCATTGCTCCAGTGCTCTACCTGTGGCACCTCTTTTTTGCTGTGCCCAGTCCCTGCCGTGGCATCTGTTTTCAGTATATCATTCCAGGCAGTCGCTGTCAGTTGATAGGAAATTGAAGCCGACTTGGCCCGCTCTGATGGTCTCCAAAGCCCATTACATTTCGCAGCAGTCTCCAGCACTTATGCCCCTGCCCCTGGTGTTGGTTTAATTCCACCCCTCATGTGAGTTGAGGACTTACTAGGCTTGCGCTGCACTATCCCACAAAATATGTACAGTGATGGCTCCTGTCAATAGCTGTTTAAAGGAAGGAAAACATTAATTTTAATTATATATTTATTTAACCTAATACATTACTGTAACATAGAAATTTTTGGTGAGATATATAATTTTTTTATATACTGTTTTCGAAACTCGGAGTGTATTTACGTTTATAATACACCTGAATTCAGACTTGGCCGTGTTCTGAACCTCAGGTGCTCTATGTGGCTTGTGGCCACTCTTTGGACACGGACACGGTAGTCCTGGAACCCCCAGAGCAGCTCACAGGTGTGCAGTGCCAGCTCATGAAGGGGTACAGTTACATATGACCCCTTTTGTATGACCTTTCTGTTGGAACCGGCCCGCCTGTGTGCTTAGCCAGCCTGTGTGTGTCTTCTGAGTTCATGGAGCTCTTTGGGTAATAAATCATTTCTTTCTAAATTCCCAGGGCTTAACTAAGTTCAGCATAGGCTCATGGAGGCCTACTGTGTGCAGGACCACTGGGCCTACAGAGACGAGATCAGAGCCCCTGTCCTCAGGGAGGACCCTTACTCAAGTGGTTATAATTCAAGCAAGGAGCTGGGAGGCATGGCGTGTATAGCTAGGACTGATATTCAGGATTTTTTTTGTTTTTTAAAGATTTATTTATTTGTGCATACAGAACTGGGGTACAGGCCAGAGGTGCAGGGCCAGTGAGAGGCTTCACCAGAGACAGAGTGGGGAGCAGAACAGGCAGACTGACGAAGTACACTGCTGAGGGAGCAGTGGGCGGGTCAGGAGAGGTCTGCCGCGCCATGTGGTCACCTCTGGGGCAGGGATGGAACTCTTGCTGAAGTGGCTTTAGCTTCTCAGTGCTGTGCTTTAATGCGCTGCGCCACCAGGGAGGGCCAGATATTCAGGATTTTTAACCATCATAGAATGTCCAAGGGGAAGGTCAGGGAGGGGAGGAGACCAGATAATAACTATTTATCAGTGGGATGTAAGTATTCGGTATTTTGGCACCTGGAATGGCTGTGTCCATTCACACCAGCCGAATGTGGGCACAGTGCCTCGCCTAGGCCTCCAGCGTGAAGCACGTGGTCAGGGCGGGGGCTGGGAACACGCAGGAGGTGCTCTGGGGACTCCCCGGGGGTGTGGCTTTCTGTCCTGACACTTCCATTCCTTTGGCAGTGACCTTCCTCCCTGGCTCCTGCCCTTTCCCCACAGGGTTGGCTCAGGCCCTGGCCAGTGCCCCACAGCCCCAGGCCTTGCCCACGGCAGGTGAGGAGGAGGGGGACAAGCTGGAGACCAAGCAGGTCGTCCTCATCGACAGCTCCTACTTGTGCCAGTTCTGCCCCAGCAAGTTCAGCACCTACTTCCAGCTGAAGTCCCACATGACCCAGCATAAGAATGAGCAGGTAGGTGGGCGGTGGTCTGCAGGGGCCACAACCACTCGTGAACCGTGGCTGGTGCTGGGGTCTTGAACGTGGCCTAGAGCGGACAGGAGTGGACCTCAGTTGCTTTGAGTGACATTGGGATGCAATGTGCGGAGAGTTGTGTGTCACTTGGTCACCTGTGCAGATCTGCTTAGCCACCGCTGCCGCTACAGTGCAGTTTCCACCACTGCAAAGGTCACCCTCGTGCTGCCCTTCACAGTTACACCCCTGCTCCCCAGCATCCCCGACCCTTTTGAGAACGTTGTCGAGAACGTTGTATAAATGGAGTCAGACACTATGTGGCCTTTTGAGATTCACTTTTTTGCTCAGTTTAAATTCTCTTGAGATCTGTGCTTTCTGGTTGTTGTTGTTGTTTTTACATAATTTTGAGCATTTTCTCATATTTCTGTTATTTAAAGAAAAACAATTTTAATGGCCAGATTTCTTTTTAAAATTTCCCTAAACATTTAGGTTATTTCCTGAGTTTTGCTTTTTTTTTTTTTGAGTTTTGCTATTTTAAGTAAAACCCAGAACCATGGTGAGCTTCATTATAATCAAATCCTTGTCAACATTTCTGTCTTTTTCCTTATGATAAATTACTGTGGGGGTAGTTAACAAGTTAGGATATCCTTGGGGGAAATAAAACTTTAAGTCAAATTGACTTTAAAAATTTAGGAAGTTGGTGGCACAGGGGTGATTTGGTGATGGGAAACCCGTGGGGATTACAATTGAGATGAAAAAAAAAAATGTGAAAAATGATGTAAAAATAAACTTTAAAAAAAAAAAATTTAGGAAGTTTGTCACCTTTTATAATGAAAAAACCCAAGATAGGGCTGCTCCAGGCCTAAGACATCAAGGGCGCCATGTCTCCCCAGCCCTCAGCTCCACAACCTCAGCCTGTGTCTTTGTCCCTTACTGGTGGCCCATCTGTGGTTCTGGGATGGTGTCGGTCTTCTCAGCAGCAGTCCAAATACAGAAGGGTCAGAACTGGTACACAGTCTCTTTTTTTTTTTTTAAAGATTTATTTATTTGTGCATACAGAACTGGGAGACAGGCCAGAGGTGCAGGGGCGGTGAGAGGATTCACCAGGGTCAGAGTGGGGAGCAGAACAGGCAGATCGAGGAAGTACACTGCTGAGGGGAGCAGCGGGCGGGTCAGGAGAGGTCTGCCATGCCATGTGGATCACCTCTGGGGCTGGTGGGGATCGAACTCATGCAGAAGTGGCTTTAGCTTCTTAGTACTGTGCTTTAATCTGCTGCGCCACCAGGGAGGGCCCATGGTCTCTATCTTTAAGGAATGTGTCACTGTGTTTCAAACCATAGAAAACTGGCTTAGTAGCGAGGGTTTTCTTTCCCCTACATCACAAAAAGCCCATAAGTAGGTGACATTGGGCTTGCCTAGCAGGTCCACTATGTCATGGCCTCAAGCCATCTGGGTTTCTACTCTGCCATCCTTAGCTTGTGGCTTTTATCTTCCAGGGTGCAGGATGGCTGCTGTATCTCCAGCCATCACATCTGTATTTCAGTCAGGAGAAATGCAAAAAGCAGAGGGGGGAAAATGCTAGCCTTTTTGTTCTGCGAGTGATGACTTTTCCAAAAACTACTACCTACATGTCATTGTTAAGAAAGGAGTCATGTGGCTGAGACTGGCTGCCCGGGAGCCAGGGGGAGCAAGTGTTTTAACTAAGCACGTACCCTCCCTGAGCAAATCAACGTTCATGGGTTAGGAAGGAGAGGATGGAATCATACAGGTGTCAGAGGTATAGCCTACTTGTCAAAGGTATAATTTTCAAAATATTAAAAACAACTGTCATACAAATAACAGTGAATATGTGTGAGAATTTTTACTTAACTCATTGAAGGAGCTGGAAGGATCATAAAATCAGATTCGAAAGAGAATATGAGATGTTAATTTCTGCACCTATCTCTAACTATGTTGGTGAATGTAGGAATACTGAAATAAGATGGCTAAGCTAGATCCAGATCTGGTCAGTGTCCTGCGGGGAACAAATCCCATGACTTGAAGTTTTCTGTTCTACCTGAGGGAAATTACTTACAGTCAATCATTTTTTCTATAAGTCAAATATGAATTTGAGAGAATGGCTTCTACCAGTAGCAAATTGTCAAAACCGACCGCCCTCCCCAGAGGGAGGTCCCTGGGCGGGCTTGTTGGCAGTTTTCAGAGTGACATTCCCCAACCAGCAGCTGCAGCATCACCCGGGCCCCTGTCAGGAACGCACAGATGCAGGCCACCCAGGCTGCTCAGTCGGCTACTCTGGGTGGTGCCCAGCACCCTGTGACTTGATGCCTGCTCAGGCTGGCGAGCCACGCTCTGGTGTGACAGCAGAAGGATGTGATGTCATCTTGCTACCGTCTTCCCAGTCGTGGATCATCTTCCTAACTATGCCCAGGCCCCACAGAGCCTGAGGGAAGTGGGGTGGAGTCATCATCGCCCCGAGGGGCAAGGACCTACTCATCAAAAGCCAGGGCTCCCGCAGCAAGTCGCTGTCCTCACCTGTCCTGCATCTTTCCTCAAGGTGTACAAGTGTGTGGTCAAAAGCTGTGCCCAGACGTTCCCGAAGCTTGACACCTTCCTGGAGCACATCAAGAGCCACCAGGAGGAGCTGAGCTACCGCTGCCACCTCTGTGGCAAGGACTTCCCCTCGCTGTACGACCTTGGTGTGCACCAGTACTCCCACAGCTTCCTGCCACAGCACAGCCCCAAGAAGGACAGCGCCGGCTACAAGTATGTGCGCCCACACCCCGCACCCTCCTCCCTGCCAGGAGCCCACCAGTCTGCAGCTGTGGTGCTCTGACAGCTCAGAATCAGTGAGACCCTGGAGTAGTCAGATCAGGCTGCTGTGACAGAAGACCACAGTGGCCACTCTCCTGCCCACCTGTGACTATGCAGGTGCCTCTTTTGTTCTCGTTTTCCTAATAAGCCGGTCCTTTTAGAAGGCTAGAAAAAGCACCCTGAAAATATGATCTCTTCTTGTAGGGGCATTAATCTCATTGTGAGAACTCCATCCTCATGAGTTCATCTAAACCTAATCACCTCCCAAAGGCCTCGTCTTCAGATCCCACCACACTGTGGACCAGGACTTCAGTAAATGAATCCTGGAAGGACAGTTCAGCCAAAGCAGTAGGCTTCTTCCCATTTTGAAGAGGGGCACACTGAGACTCGGAGAGGGCCTTACCAGAGTTCATCAGTACAGAGTTGAGATTCAAACTAGTCTGGGACCTTTGAGGCTCAGCTCTGGTCTTGGAGTTTGCAGGCTAAGAGTTGGTCTCCATATTGATGGCTCTAAGCCTGCAGTTGATTGCTTCTCCCAGATTCTCTTGCCAGGGTTAGAGGGCCAGTGGCCTTTTGCAGCCATTGGGGCTGCTGGCCTGAAAGGCAGGTCCGAGGAGGCAGGCCACCATCTGGACGGCCCGAGAATGGAAGGGTGTCTTGGGGAATGGAACCACCTGCCTGTGTGCAAATCCCAGCTCGACTACAAACCACAAACCGGACGGATGACTTTGGCAAGGTATTCAGCCACTCTGAGCCTCAGTCTCCTCATCTGTGAATGGGGGATAATTATGGTGCCTACTCTGTTGGAGTATTTGTAAGGGTCAAGTAAGATGACTGTGGGGCACTTAGATGTGATGCCTGCAACTAAGTAGTAGTGTTATTGCTGTAATTACTATTTGTGCAATTTAGATGTAAATTTGGCTGCATGCAACAGAGACCCAGAATAATAATGCCTTAAAAAAGTAAGAGTGTATTTCTTCCTCATGGTAGTGTTTGCGTGGCTGTAGTGGCTTCATTCTCAGGATTTTAGGCCCCATTATTCTGGCTGCTTTGCCCCTTAGGGCCACATTGCCTTCCTTGAACCACCTTTGGTGTCCCCCACCCCGACTCCCACCCCCCAAGTGAATTTCATGCATGCATGCATCTTTCCTTTTGAAAGATTTACTGATTTTTTATAATTACAAAATTCATCCATATTTAATGGGAGAAAACACAAAATTTTTCAAAAACTTACCCCAAAACAGAAAACAAAAACCTTGCCATCTAAAAATAACCCTCATTAGTCTCTTGTTCCATGTGTTTTGGTCTTGTATGTGTTTCTGTAATAAGCTTTTGGATGTAAACATCACACACTGTGTATGAGTCTGGTCATTCCAGATACCTGTCTCCTGCACGCGGTCTCTGCCTTCTAGCACTCTACTCCTGCCTGACCTCCTTCTTTCCTCTGCATTTGGTGAAAATTGATGATCACACCATCTTCCTGTTGCATAACTTCCAAAGTTCCCTGAAACTTAGTAGGATTGCGCAAAACACTATTATCACACTGAAACTGTAATTTGGACGCCTTTGCGTTTCATTGCAAGTAGACCAGCCTAATCCGTTTGAACAGTTACTCAGAATTCTGTTGTATGTGGCTGCTATTGAACCTGCCTTTACTTTGGGAGAGTTGGGTTATTGCCAGTTTGTCATTATCACAAACAATGCCACAGAAATGCCTTTGGACCTATATGTTTGCTCATTTGTAAATAGGTTCCTCAAAATAATTTTGCTGTTGAAGATCAAATGGTGTTTTAAAAAACATTAGTTACCTACTTCAGAAAGTAGCTGTTATGTGCAACAATGCAATATTTAATAGCAAAAGGCCTTCCCTGCACACCCTGACCCACTGGATTTCAGGACGTCCTCTCGTTAAACGTTGATGTCAGTTTAGACTTCTAGAAAAGTACTATCAGTACAAAGGATGCCCTTCACCCAGATTTCCTACATGTTGACTTTGACCATGTTTGCTTTATCGTGTTCTGAGCTGTATGAGAATATTTTGCCAACATGATGCTCCTTTGCCTTTCTCTTTGGTGTGTGTTTTCTAGAACCAAAGATACCTACATAAGCACCACATAGGTATGAAAATCAGAAAGTTAAATCGATCTACAAGCTTTATTCAAGAGTTTCTAATTGTTTCCAGAACGTCTTTTACAGACAAAAGAGAAAAGTCTTTTCTGGCCCCAGACCTAGTCCAGGGTCACACAGTACATTCAGCTCTCGAGTCCCTTTCATCTCCTTCAGGCTGAACATGTGCCTCATTCTGTCTTTATCTTTCTAGAACTTGATTTTTTTTAAAGATTTATTTATTTATGCACACAAGAACTGGGGTACCTACCAAAGGTGTGAGGGGTGAGAGGATTCACCAGAGACAGAGGGGGGAGCAGAACAGGCAAGTTGACTGATAAACACTGAGGGGAGCAGCAGGTGGGTCAGGAGAGGTCTGCTGTGCCGTGTGGGTCAGCTCCCTGGCAGGGGATCAAACTCGTGCTGCAGTGGCTGCAGAGAGCTTCATAGTGCTGTGCTTTAACCTGTTGCACTACCAGAGAGGACCCTTGAACTTGATATTTTGGAAGCTTGCAGGACAGTTAGTTTGTAAAATGGCCTTAATTTGTTTGACTGGATCTCAGGACTGGATTCAGGATTGGCATTCTCAAGCAGGAACGTCACAAAGTGACTGTCCTCAGCACGTCACATTAGGAGGCCTTGAACATAGTTTGTCCATTGCTGGGGTATTATCTTGGGTGACTTAGCATCTGCCAGGGAGTTTTAATTTTTAATGGTAATTGATAAACTATCCCCCATACAAACCTTTGTCTCCTCTCTGCTGAGACCTACGGGGATTCTGTCCTATCTCACCCCACCAGCCTGGAAGGTCTCTGCCTCTTAGTAGCTCAGCTCCCCACCCACCTCCTCTTTCTTGCTAACTCAAAGCACTTATGCAGCCTGTGGTTTCAGCGTATTGTCTGAAAGGGTCCTCTGGGTCTGCCACAGGTGCACCTGCCCCTGAGTCCCGCATGGGTGAGATAGTGTGCAGATGGCAGGTTCCATGTTTCTTTTGCTGTCATGAATTGCCCACCTTGTTTCTCACTGGCATTTGATCATGAAAGGGCCCATTTGCTGGCAGATGCTGGAGATGGCAGGGTGTATTTTTCCTTCAGAATAGCTTGCAGCCTGTGGGTCTCCCTGGTGGTGCAAGGGGTTAAAGCACAGCACTATGAAGCTATCTGCAGCACAAAGTTCAATCCTGGTCAGAGAGGTGACCCACATGTATCACCTGCAGACCTCTCCTATATCACCTGCTGCTCCCCTCAGCAGTGTGTTTCAGTGGATCTGCCTGTTCTGCTCCCCTCTGTCCCGGGTGAATCCTCTCACCCCCTCACCTCTGGCCTGTATCCCAGTTCTTATTTGCATAAATAAATAAATCTTAAAAAAAAGAATACTGTGCAGCCTGAAACTGCTGTTCTGAAGTTAGCTTACCTGCCGTGGTATAAGCGGCTGTGATGTATGTTTATGGTAAGGACCTTGTTTACAGGACTTTGCAGTTTATGAACTCTTTGGCACAGTTGTGTAATTTGGCCCTTTTTTTTTTTTTAAAGATTTATTTATGCATACAGAACTGAGGGGTACAGGCCAGAGGTGCAGGGGCGGCGAGAGGCTTCACCAGAGACAGAGCGGGGAGCAGAACAGGCAGATGGACGAAGTACACTGCTGAGGGGAGCAGCAGGCGGGTCAGGAGAGGTCTGCCACACCATGTGGTCTCCTCCGTGGCAGGCGGGAATCGAACTCATGCTGAAGTGGCTTTAGCTTCTCAGTGCTATGCTTTAACCCATTGCGCCACCAGGGAGGGCCTGGCCCTTTTTTTTTTTAAGTGATGCTTATTGAGGTCATACTGATTTATGAGATTGTATCTTCTAGGTATATAGGTTTACACTTCTACAAGTATATATTACCATACCATGCCCACCACCACAGCACTAATAATCCTCCACATAGTCCACTGAGCTCCCTCCCTCTCTGCTATCATCCCTCCCAAACTCTGTCTTTTGGTAGCCTCAGTTCTGCAGTCAGATTTCAAGGATTTGTTCTTGTATGTAAATTTGCTTTTTTTTTAAAAAAAACATTTATTTATTTATGCATACAAGATCTGGGGTACAGGCCAGAGGTGCAGAGGCAGTGAGAGGCTTCACCAGAGACAGAGTGGGGAGCAGAACAGGCAGATCAACAGAAATACGCTGCTGAGGGGAGCAGTGGGCGAGTCAGGAGAGATCTGCTGTGGCAGTTGGGTCATCTCCCTGGCTAGGGATCGAACTCATGCTGTGGTGGCTGTGGTAACTTCATAATGCTGTGCTTCAACCTGTTGTGCCACCAGGGAGGGTCCAAATTTGCTTTGTTTTTTATGTTCCACCTGTGAGTAAAGTCATCTGGTACTTGTTTTTCTCCTTCTGACTTACTTTTCGATAACCCCTTCCAGTTCCATTCATATTGTTTCAAATGGCCAGATTTCTTTTTTTCATAGTGAAATAGTATTCTGTTGTATATACATATCCCATCTTCTTTATCCACTCATCTGTCTTTGGGAACTTGGGTTATTTCCACCATTTGGCTATTGTAAATGGTACTGTAGAAAACAGAGAAGTGCGTATCTCTCTTTGGGGTGGTGCATTTGTATCCATTTTGTTGATACCTAGGAGAGGGACTGCTGAATCAATGACAGATCTGCTTTTAATTGTTTTGAGATACCCCCATACTATTTTTCATAGGACCTGGACTAGTCTGAATTTCTACCAACCCCTGTTATGTCTGATCTCACAGGTGTAAGGTGAAAGTTCATTGTGGTTTTGATTTGCATCTCCCTGATAATAAGTGATGATAGGCATTGTTTGATGTGCTTGTTGGCCATCTGTATGTCTTTTATGGAGAAGTTTCTGTTTACATCTTCTGCCCATTTTTTGATTGGGTTGGGTTTTTTGTTGTTGTTGAGCTGCATGAGCTCTTTGTAGTTCTTGGATACCAGCCCCTTGTCAGATATATAATATGCAAAATTCTCTCCCATTCAGTAAGACGTCTGTTTTTTTAATAATATAGTAATTTATTTTTACATCATTTTGCGTACTTTGTCTTTTGTCTTAACGATAGTTTCTGTTGCAGTGTGCAGAAGCCTTCTGCCTGATTAGTCCCATTTGTTTATTTTTACTTTTGTTTCCTTTGCTGTTAGAGTCAAGTCCCCAAAGACATCACTGAAGCCAATATATCGAAGTGTTTGGCTTGTGTTTTCTTCTGTGTATTTTATGGTTTCAGGTCTTACATCCTAGACTGTGACCCATTTTTTTAAAGAGTTACTTATTTATGCATAGAAGAGCTGGAGTGTAGGCCAGAGGTGCAGGGTTCGGGGGTGTGAGAGGATTCACCAGAGTTAAGAGTGGGAGTAGAAGAGGTGGGATCTACTGAAATACATTGCTAAGGGGAGCAGTGGTGAGACAGAAGTCTATTGGGCTTTGTGGGCCACCTCCCTCACCAGGATCGAGCTGTATTACAGTGGCTGCTGAAAGCTTCATAGTGCTGTGACTTAACCCCTTGTGCCTCCAGGGAGGCCCACTCTTTGCCCATTTTGAATTAATTTTTGTGTTTGGTGTGAGACAGTGATCTGTTTTCATTTTTTTTTCTTTTTGCATGTGACTGTTCAGTTCACCCAACACCATTTTTTTGATACAGAGACTTTCCTTTTTCTATTATATATACTCTTGGTTCCTTTGTTATAAATTAACTGTCCATGTAAATGTGAATTCACTTACGGTCTCTTGATTCTATTCCATTGATCTGTGTGTACATTTTTATTCTAATAATATATTGTTTATTTTTATTTTTATTCTAATAATACATTTTTATTTCTAATAATACATTACTGTTGCCCTGTGCAATTTGAAGTCTGAGAACATAATGCCTCAGTTCTTTTCTCTCAGAGTTGCTTAGGCAACTGGAATCTTTTGTAATTCCATACAAATATTGGTAGTGTTTTCTCTATTTCTTTATAGAAAGCTATTACAGTTTTGATAGGAATAGCATTAAGTCTATATATTGCTTTGGGTCAGATGACCATACTAACAAGTTCTGTTCTTCTAACCCATTAAGTGTAGAGTATCTTTCCATTTCCTTGTGTCTTCTACTTCTTTTAGCAATATATTACAATTTTCATTGTATAGTTCTCTTACCTTCTTGTTAAGTTTATTCTAGGTACTTTTTTATATGATTTTAGTTACTTTTTTTAAAGATTTCTTTATTTATATTTATTTATTTATGCATACAGAACTGGGGTACAGGCCAGAGGTGCGGGGGGTGAAAGGATTCACCAGAGACAGAGTGGGGAGCAGAACAGGTATATCCGCTGAAATACACTGCTGAGGGGAGCAGCAGGTGAGACAGGAGAGGTCTGCCACACCATGTGGGTCACCTCCTTGGTCAGGCTTTGAACTTGTGTTGTAGTGGCTGTGGCAGCTTCACAGTGCTGTGCTTTAACCTGTTATGCCATCAGGAAGGTCCCTTGATAGGATTTTAAATGGGATTTTTTGTTTTCTCTTCTAGTTCATTGTTTGCATATGGGAATGCAACAGACTTTTGTATATTGATTTTGTAGCCATGTCATTTGACTCTTGTGACCAAATTAGACAATGAACTGGCGACAGGTACATTTAGGATAAATCCCACCCCATTTTATGAATGAAGTAACCAAGGGTCAGAAATGGAAAGAAGCCAGCCCTGGATTCTTGTCTGTCTGATTCATCTCATGTAAGAGAGTCTCACTGGTGCTCAGAACAGATTATAACCAGAAATATATGGTTCTTGCCACCAGAGCCCACCTACTAGCAGAGAAAATAGATAATAATCAAGTAAGCAAATAAATAATTCCAGATAATAAGTGCTAAGAAGAAAATAAAACTGTGTGACGTAACAGGGAGTGACCAGGGTGTTGGACTGCAAGGGGCAATTTGAGACAAAGGTGTTCGGGGGGGCCCCTCTGAAAAGGTGATCTTTGAAATGAGACATCAAGGGTGACCCAGGGAATGCTTGTCCGGGCGGCAGAAGCAGCAAATGCAAAGGCCCTGAGGTAGGAATGAGGTGGAATTCAAAGTACATTAAGGAGGCCAGGGTGTCTGAAGTAGAGGAAATGCGATGGAGAAAGATCAGGTCTGAGAGGTGGGGCAGACCCGGCCAGCAGGGCCGTGTGGGCCAAGGTGGAGACTTTGAAGCAAGGGTGTGTGCAACATGGTCTGCTCTTCCTCTTGAAAGTTTCTGTCCTGCTCCTCTATAGAGAATGGATTACAGGAGGTGGGGGGTGGGGGGCCACTGCACATGTCTAAGTGAGCACGCCGATGGCAGCCGAGACTGGGGCAGGGCAGTAGCGAGTGAGGAGAACGGAGGAGTTTGAGAATGAAGTTTTGCTTCCTAATGTCAATCCGGGAAAAGGGAGTGACTGGTTCCCACACCTGGTTCCCACACCTGCCGGGCAAGCCTCGCCCCCACACTCTGTCACCTCTCCTGCTCCTCCCTGTATAGGTGTGTCAAATGTGTTAACAAATACTCCACTCCTGAAGCTCTGGAGCACCACCTGCAGACTGCCACTCACAACTTCCCCTGCCCGCACTGCCAAAAGGTGGGTACCACTGCCTTTTCCTGGCTGGGGTGACAGTAGGGGGCATGGTGGTGGTAGAGTGATGGTCTTTTCTCTCTTTCTCCCCACCTACCTCTGTCCATGCACCGCGTGCAGGCAAAGCATGTTGTCGTCTCCATCGATGACTCTTCACCTTTGAAGGGTCAGCTCTGCTTGCCCTGACCTACCCTCCAGATGCGGCCCTGGCTGTCCGGGGCTGGTGCTGGGCCAGCCTGCCTTGACATGGTCTCCTGGGCTCAGGCCCAGTGTCTGCTAGGCAGCGCCAGCTTCCAGATATCTTACTACCACTGGGTTCTCCTTTTCAGTGGATCTGAAAGCTGTCACTAGAGCCTGTCCCTTAATATTACCACATATCCAAGCAGTGTTCAAATTTCCAGTTGTCTCAGAAACACCATCACTTTCGTGTGAGGCGAATCTGATAACCACTATACTATGGAAATGCCACACACCATCACTTTTGTGAAGTCTGTTTATTTGAATCAGCTGATTGTAAGGCAATCAGCTGACACAACCAAACTTTCTGTTAATCTACAGGTTTCCCAACCACTGCTCCCCACAACTACCCCCACCTTTTTTTTTTTTTTTCCTTAATTTATTTGTTGGGGAAACTGGGCCATCAGGCCTGTGGAATTTCCAAGTCTGGATTTTGCTGATTGCCTCCCCCTGGTCTGTTTGACTTATTTCTTTGCTCTACTAATTATTTACAACCTTACATGGTAGACATTCCAGGACAGCCCTGGTTTCATTTCAGCTTCATCGTAGATGTTTCTAATTATGTATAAGCCTAATTTGGGGATTTGAAATTTGTGGTCCAAATAAAAGTTGTCATGAATTGAACAAGAACTATGTGCCAGACACCATTCTAAGCATTTTATGTGAATTAATTCTTTTAACCCTCGGAGGCAAGCATATTTTACTTTCCTAATTTTAGAGATGGGGAGACAAAGGCAGAGAACGCTCACCCAGGCAGGAAATGGGGGGCCGAGTAAGTAGCGGAACCCTTGGGTCTGTGCCCTGACCACTTCTCTGTACTGAATGGAAAAATGAATGCCCCTGCTATATTGGGGAGAAAGGAGATTTTACTGGGTTGTCTGGCCTTACATTACTTTTCTTTTTACTTCTTCGGTTATTATTATTATCATTTTGTTATTCAGTTCTTTACTGATTAGACATTTGACTCAGACCCTGAATTGGAAAACCCCTTCTGTTCTCTCAGAGAGCTTATGTAAACAAAGTGATACAATTCAGTAGGTTAAATGATGACTCTAAAAATGTGGGTGGACATCCAAAGCCAGAATTTGCTTTGCCTGATGTGGCATTGGAGAGTGAGGGAGCTCAGGGAAGCAGCTGCGTTGAGTCCTGAAGGATGAGCCGGAATTCTCCAGGCGAGGAGAGAAAGACCCTCTGGTAGGAAAAAACAGCCTGGTCTGAGGCTCAGAGCAGGAATGATTTGACTGGGCTTATTGGTGAGTAGGGGACCTGGGAGCTTCTAAGACTGAGTCTGACATTGTGGGCGATCCCTGCTGGTCAGCAAGGAAGGAGTTTCCATAAAGGCTGGAAAGGAGAGACCTCTGGAGGTCAGAAGACGGTGAGGGCTGGTCAGTCAGACCTGACTCCGAGGTTGTTCTTCTGCTAGGTGTTCCCTTGTGAGCGCTATCTGCGGCGACACCTGCCCACCCACGGCAGTGGAGGCAGGTTCAAGTGCCAGGTGTGCAAGAAGTTCTTCCGGCGAGAGCACTACCTCAAACTGCATGCTCATATCCACTCAGGTGGGTACCCTGCCCCCACCAACTCCTGCCCTGCCCTTTCCCCGACTTACTCTCTCTTTCTCTTTCCACCCTGCGCCCCATAGCCTTCCTGGCCGCCCCCTACCCACCTGTCCCTCATCTGACTCTAAGTTCCCACCAACCAAGAGCAGTGATAAGCCCCTGGAGTTTGCTGGGGGAGAGGGAGAAGGGAGGGCTCTTGGCGCTAGCCACCTGAGAGTCAGCCCCCCGAGATTATTCTAAGCCCCTGGAGGTGGAGATGGCTATTCTCACTGCAAAATTCTCACCCAAATTGAATAAAACCTCTTCTTGATTCCCCAGTTGAGAAACATTGATACTTTATTTCATTTCATCTTTAGATGGTGTGTCACTAGTAAAAAATTCCAGTGTGTTGTTTTTTATTTGAAAAGGAGCTACAAATTGAGAGAATGTGAGAAGATTTTTGATAGTACAAATGCACAGATAATGAAAACTAGTGGACAATACAATTTTTTTTATTCTTTTACTATGACTTATGGTAAAAGAAGAAATAGGGAACGTAGGAAAGATACGTATACACAGAATATATGTTGAAGCAAAAGTTTCACAAAGCATTAATTTCTGTTCTGTTCAATTTTAGTTTTTAAAATAACCACCAACAGATTGTGACTTGAAATTTATAGTTTTAAAAATATTCCTAATTCCAAAAAAATGTACAAAATGATGTAAAAATAAAGAATTATATTTAAAAAAAAAAACAAGAAAAAAAATTCCTCATTCCCCCTCGCCAAGGTAGCTACTGTTAGTGGTCTAGTCTGGGTTGCTCTAGAACAAGCTAGTACAAAACACATGCTAACATTTATACAAATAAATATAGACTATCATTCTATTATGTCTCTTATCCTTCACTAATCAACATGCCAAGATGTTAGTACCTTTTCCCAGCTGCATAATATTCCTCTGTGTTTTTACTTTTATTTAACCTGTTCCCTATGGATGGAGACTCACATTATTTTTAGTGTTGGTTTGTACACACAATGCTGTGTGGATCCCTTGGAAGACTTTGGGGAGTATGTAAGTGTATGTACTTAGCAGTACTAAGATTGGGATGATGAAAAAGTTCTGAAGATGGATAATGCCAAGGGTTGCACAACCAATGTACTTACTTAATGCCACCAACTGTACACTTAAAAATGGTTGAAGTGATATATTTTATATGTATTTTGCCATGTAAAAGAACAAAATATAGGACCCCTCCCCCCTACCCCCCGGTGGCATAAGGGTTAAGTCTCAGCACTATCACACTATCACCTCTGTAGCCTGAGTTCAGTCCTGGCCAGGGAGCTGACCCACTGGTGCAGCAGACCTCTCCTGTCTCAGCCACTGCTCCCCTCAGCAGTGTATTTCAATAGATCATCCTGTTCTGCACCTCCAACCTGTTGTCCCCTGCACCTCTGGCCTGTACCCTAGTTTGTTCTTATATGCATAAACAAATAAAAATAAATATTTTTTAAAACCAGAATATATATACACATTTAATTTTGATAGATACTACCAAATTTACTCTCTTGTTTTTAAAAATAAGTAATATAGTTATCATAAAAGTGGAAGCAGCATAGAAATACATGAAGAAAGAAATCCCCCCTTAACTGCCACTGCCGATTTGAGGTGTACTATCCCCCCACTTTTCCCTCTATATACTCTGTTTATGTAAACACCTATGATTAGGTTTTTTTGTGGAGTTGGGGATTATATTGGGGGGGACTGTATTAGGGCATTCTACAGTTTTCTTTCCCCCCTAACAATATGTCCAGATCTTTCCACATCAGAAAACAGATTGATCTTAATCTTTTTAATGGCTACAGAACATTCCACTGTAAGGACCACAATTTCCTGGTCACTGGTTTAGCATCTTTTCAGAAATATTTTCCAGGAGGAGAACAGAGAGGAAACAGTGGCAAGAAATCAAAGCAGTTCATTAACAGTCCTTTTCCAAAGGGCAGGTTGTGACCCCTTGACCCCTGAGCTTCATCAGGTGAGAGCTGTTCTCTCTCCCTCACCCCAGTCTACCCTGGAAGAGTTTAGCTGCAGGATGATCTGGGCTGACTGAGGTGGGCTCTGGAGTGCCCTGCTCGGCTGGGATTTTGATCTCCCCCGTCCACTAGTTGAGGACCGTGACCTGTACGACCAGTTTCTCATCTGTCATAGGGGCTGTGGTAGCACTTACCTCATGGTTTGCTGCAAGTATTCAGTTGGTTAAAGTATAATCCACCCCCTCCATGGTGGACCCCATTTATGTAAATGCCATGACCACTCATTGTGTCACTTGCCACAAACCTTTGATTCATCCTCAGCCCCACCTTCCCCTCACACCCCACAGCCGGTCACTGTCAGGGTTACCCGCCTGCTGCCCACACATCGCCTGTCCTCCACCACTTCTTGCATCGGCTCCTTCCGCCTCCATGCCCCCCAGTCTCGGTCTGTTCTTCACACGCACAAAGGATGCCTACAGACTCTTCAGTCAGACCCTGTCCCTCCTCTGCTCAGCCCGCTCTGGATTCTCAGCTGGCTCAGAGTAGAATCCAAGTCCTTACCTAGGCTTCCAGCCCTCCCTGTTGGGCCCGGCTGCCTCGCCGACCTCACCTTCTGCCCCATTCTCCAAGCTGGCCTTCCTGTTGTTTCCCAGACACACTGTTGCCCACATCTCGCCTCCTGCCTGGAATCCTCACTTCCAGACTCCACAAGGCTCAATCCCTTGTGCCTTAGGTTTCAGCCCCTGGTGCCCCACCAGAGATGCCTTTCCTGGTCGACCTGTCAAAAGTCACCCCACTTCTCCTTGGACAAAGTCATGAGGAATGAGCCTGTCTTCCTCCCAAGCCACCTCCCTAGAGGAGCTGCTGCCCTCCAGTCAGGGTCCCTGTGCCCCGCATTCAGTCCTTCTCAGGAGACCCTCAGTCCCATCCGTGTCCCCTGCTGCAGGTGAGAAACCCTACAAATGCTCAGTGTGCGAGTCCGCATTCAACCGCAAGGACAAACTGAAGAGACACATGCTGATCCATGAGCCATTCAAGAAATTCAAATGTCCCTTCTCGTGAGTACAGATGGCATGGCAGAGAGGGGACAGATTCTGTCCCAATGGTTGGACAGAAAGATGTCGGGTGGGGGCTGCAGGCACGCTCTCCCTTTAACCTGGGTTCTGTCATGTCTACCTCACTCTCCACCCTGCTTAGGGTGGACAAGGGGGTTTCTTGCCAGTGGAGGGACTGGCAGCTAGAGGACCGGTCCTGAACTTGCCAGCCAACCCCTGACCTGTGGCTTTGGGTTCTAGGACACACACCGGCTGCAGTAAGGAGTTCAACCGGCCAGACAAGCTGAAGGCTCATATCCTTTCCCACTCTGGTAAGTAGCTTGCAGATCTTCTGGGAAGGTCTGGTTCAGCTCAAGCCCCCTGGAGCAGGCCCCCCACAGAACAGACACATTTTATCCCTGCCTGAAGTACGCTTCAGCCAACACACCTCACTCAATGTGAAGTATGAGGGTCCTCGGGATGCAGAGTGAGCCAGATAGAGTCCCACAGGTGGAGAGGGAGGCTGTCTTGAGAGGAGATAACAGTAATTGTGGGGGCCTCCTTGGCAGCACAAGGGGCTAAAGTGCAACACTATGAAGCTATCAGCAGCCACTACAGCATGAGTTCCATCCACGGCCGGGGTGCTGACCTACCTGGCGCGGCAGACCTCTCCTGACCCGTCTGCTGCTCCCCTCAGCAGTGTATTTCAGTAGATCTGCCTGTTCTGCTCCCCACTCTGTCTCTGGTGAATCCTCTCACCACCTCCCCCACCTCTGGTCTGTACCCCAGTTCTTGTATGCATAAATAAATACTTATTTTTTTTAAAAATAAAAAAGAACCACTGGCTTACACAAAGTAGCTCAAAGCTGGGAGAGTGGATCAGGGACAGAGACAGAGGCTCAGGTTTGAGTCTTCGCGCTACTCTGGCTGGGCAGCTCCAGGCTAGTCGGTGCCCCTCCCCCAGCCTCCCCCCCCTGGGCTGGGAGAGCTACGGACTAGCCTGTCCGGGTTGGAGTTGACCTCATGTCGACGTGAGGCACCAGCCATTTGTTCAGTTTGGAGATCCAGGCATGCGTCAGGGGTTGGGATATCCTGGGAGACAGATCAGTAGCAGCCTCAGGCTCAGAACCCACGGTTCATTTCCAAAGAGTGAGTATGGCTGGCACAGAGCGAGCGGAGAAGGTAGAAGATGGGGTTGAAGGGAGGTGGCCTCCTCAGGCAGCGCTTCTGAGGCGAGTGAAACTGGGCTCTACTCCAAGTGCAGAGGGACCAGCGGCACTGGGAGTCTGAGCGCCGCCCATTAACCTCCTCTCGCCCCCAGGCATGAAGCTCCACAAGTGTGCCCTGTGCAGCAAGTCCTTCAGCCGCCGCGCCCACCTCACCGAGCACCAGCGAGCCCACACAGGCAACTACAAGTTCCGCTGTGCTGGCTGTGCCAAGGGCTTTTCCCGCCACAAGCACCTCAAGGATCACCTCTGCCGCCTTGGCCCACAAAAGGACAAGGACTTGCCTGCCCGGAGGCCGCCCCGGAGGAGGGCAGCTCCCCGCAGTGGCAGCACTGGGGGGCGCAAGGTGGTGGCCCCGCTCCCTGACCCCTTGGGACTGGAGGAGCTGAAGGATGCAGGGGCTGGGCCAGTGCCAGAGGCCGCCCCCGGCAAGCCACCCTTCTCAGAGTCAGACGCTGTGCTGTCCATCGTAGTGGGGGGTCCGGTGGGGGGCGAACCTGAGCTGGTAGTGCCTGGGCATGCTGAGGGCCTGGGCTCCAACCTGGCCCTGGCAGAGCTGCAGGCTGGGGCGGAAGGCCCGTGCGCCATGCTCGCTGTGCCCGTCTATATCCAGGCTTCCGAGTGATAGACTCCTGCTGTTTGTGTCTACAACCTGGCCTGACTTCACCTTGGGTCTGGGGCCCTTGGGCACACCCACGACCCTTCCCAGTGGAAGCAAGCCCTCGGCTGTGTCCCCTTTCCTACTGGGAAGTCATGCGATGTTCTGGGACGTGGGCCGGGGCTGCCTATGGCTTCCCGGCACTGGCAGTGGCAAGGGAGATGGTCGAGCCCGAGAGGCCCAGGCTCTAGCAGGTACGGGCCCTCTAAGACAGGAGACAGGTGGTACTGCCCATACTACCGAGCTGCCTCTGAGTAGCCTCTCATCGAGCTATTCTTCAGGACAGCTGACATAGTAGGAACCCTTTCCTGCTGAACTTTTTCACATCTGGTTCCTCACAGTATCCCCAGATGACTCTGTGATACAGGCATTTAGGATGCACTTGAGTGTGAGGGTTACGAATGCAACTAACGCCCAGATCTGGCTTCAAATCCAAGTGCTGCCACTTACTTGCTGCGTGGCCCTGGGTAAGTCACTTCACCTCTCTGTGCCCGATGTTCCTCATCTGTACAGTGGGACTTGTGACAGTACTACCTCATTGGGTTGTCATGGGGTCCAGTCTGATGAAATACACAAAGGGCTTGGCATAGTACTGGGTACTCAGGGTGTCCAATAAATGTTTTTACCAGGCAGGAACTTTGGCAGTTTTTTTCTTAGCCCCTGGGTGACAGCAGCACTCCCCTCACCAAAGTGGAAATTGAGGGGAAGCAGTGGGGGTCCCCTGCCCCCTTGTAACAAAAGCTGTGGTGTCCATACGCCATGGATAGGTATGATGTTCCCAGAGTGGTTATTTTGGAACGTGGCCCCAGGGAAACACCCAAGGGGAGGAGCTTATATTCACTTTAGAAAATCAGGATCATGGTCCTGGCCCCAAGTTTCTGAAATCAGAAGCCCCAGCCAGAGCCAGAAGTCCATCTAGAGCAGGCATCTAGGAGGTCACAGATGCCCCCACTTCAGCATTCCCTCCCCTCTGTCCAGCTAGTCCAGGGCCAAGCAAGCCAGGCAGGAAAGGAGTAAAAGGAACCTGACCCGTGGGTGCTCTTTAAGCTTCTTAACCACCCTGCTGGGCCAGGTTGCCACAGTTACAGGAGAGGAAGCAGAGTTTTGAGAGGAGACGGGGTGGGATGCACAGAGCTATCTGCCTCAGTTAGATGACTGAATGTCCCGATGGCTGGCCTGTCCCTCAGAAGTGTGCTGGGCCTGGAGCCAGCCTGTCTCCCTCATCCTCAGGGGCATATGGTGCCATGGAAGGGGCCCGTGAGAGGCTGTGCGCAGCTGAGCGGAAGGCTGTAAGTGTTGCTGGCCCCGCTCATGGAGACAGGAAGCCTGCTGGAGGAGATGTCTGTGAACAGGGCCTTACTGAGAGCTCTCACGGATGGTTAGATAGAGGGAGGATGCCAGGTATAACAAGGCCTGAGAGAAGACGTTGAGACCTGGGACTGGTGAATGGTCCAGCCTGCCAGAGACTTGCAGAGGTGATGAGATCATAACACTCCCTAAGCTTCTGCCACCCTCATCCTGGTACCTTAGCCCCGGCAGGTGAGAATTGTTATTTTGCTTATTTTACAAGTGAGGAAATGGAAGCATAGAGAAGTAACATTTCCTGCACAAACTCATGCAGCTAGTAAGTCCCTGTGCTGGGATTCAAGCTGGGTGGGCTGCCACTATGGGCTCTCAGCTGTTTTTTCTGTTGAAATGTGGGTTGATGTCAAATCGGAGCCTTGGATGTTGTGTTAGGAATTTGGACTTGGTTTTCTGCATAATGGAGGAGCATGGAAGGCAACTAAACATTTAAAAAAAAAAAATTAAAGAAAATGTTAAAAATCACATGTCCATTCTCCTGCAAGTCTGTGACATCTCTGCCTCTCCTCTGTCAGTGTTCACATGCACGCATGTTTACCAGTGACCATGAGGACTAATGGTTACTAGGTGTTTATGCAAGGCCAGCCTGTCCTAAGCGCTGTGAGGTAAGTGCTATTTGTAATTTTATAGCTGGGACCAGGTAACGGGCTCTGTACAGTAAGATTAAGCACCTTCAGTCACTGCAGTAAGTGCAGAGCCAGGTCACAGGACAAAGGACACCCAGGATCAGGACATCCCAGAATCAGGTCTGATATTTAACAGATGCCGAGTTGGGCCACACAGGAGAAGGAGGAGGCGATATTGGAGCTGAACCCCTTCTCAGAAGGGGAGACTGAGGCCCAGAGAGGCGAAGTCAGGACCGAGCTGCTCCGCTGGACCCCAGGCTGCCTCACAGAGACCCGAGATGGACAGGATACAGTGCATAGATGGGCATTCCTGGCACCCAGGGTCCCGCAGACTGGCATCAGGCAGAGATGGGTTTGAGTCCTCACTCTGCCCCTGTGTGACTGTAGCAAATCACTCTACCTTTCTGAACCTTGGTGGCCTCATGTCAGAAGGGGAGGAGATAGTGTTGTAGTCATCAGATAAAATTCAGGCAATGCAGAGATCACACCTGGCAGCCTGTGGGTAGAGTCCAGTCTGCACATAGACTTAGGTCTTTATGATGTTTGGAAAAATTGAGACAACATTTTAATATAATGCAATTAAAGACCTACTGCAATGGTGGGAAGTAAGATGTATTCCCTTTGCATCAGGAGCAAGGTAAGGAGACCTGTTGTCAAGACTCCAACATTATGCAAGAGCAATAAGGTAAGAAAAGAGGTATAAGGATCAGAAAGGAGGAAATATAGCTAGGATGTGGAAGTAATGGTAAGATCAATATATAAAAACTTACTGTGTTGCTTTACTTCAGTAGGAATGGGAAAATGTAGTTAAAACGTGGGAAATGTCACAAAACTTCTGCCTTCTGTGAGGTACCTGTCAACAGTGGGGAGCAGGTGTATAGAGCTGGGCTAGTCAGCCCCTTTGCATGAGAACATGCCGACCCACGTGTCTCAAAAAGGAGAAAACCAGATTACCAGAGAGAGCCAGAGCCACGTGATTTTTCAGACTCGTCCCCTTTACTGAAAGGTTCAGCGCAGTAAGGAGTGCGCAAAGAGAGTGAGCCGGTAAAACTGAAAGTAGGTTTATTTCTGGGCTCCCGGGTGAGGTTTGCTGACCCCAGAGAGAGAGGAGGTCAGAGAAGTCACGCTGAGGAAAGGGTCAAAGGGGTTTTTATAGGCCTAGGTAGGGGGAAGAAACGACCAGGTGGAACATTTTGCCAAGGAACTGGAACTTATTTTTCTGCCGGGGCTTGCACTAACTGGTGGTGACAAGTCATGAGGTTATCACTCCTGAATATCTGCTTCTGCTTGGGGCCGCTGCTCCTTCCCTATGTGGAGGTTTGGCCGGTGCCTGACCCTTACACATACTATCTGGACTCTGGATATACGACTTGAGGAACCCTACACAGCCAACTTCTTTCCTCCCTCCTGTCTACTGGCTTCCTCCAAGCTGGCTAGTCTCCATTTCTATCACTAAACGTGTGGAGTGGGGTTGGCACGATCTTTCTGACTGCTAAGCCCCAGCCCTGTGCTTTGTGTTTTATTCAGCATCACTGAGTCCAAGACACCCATGGAGACAAGCCTTTTCACACTTAATGGATGAGAAAACCGAGACAACCAGGTGGAATGACCTGGAATGTAAGAGCTGGGCTTCAAATCCAGGACTGCCAGACTCCAAAGTTCCTGCCTTGTCTTAGGATCTATAAACCTCTCATCAGCACCAGATTCAAATTTTATTTTGATCCATTTCTTCAAGGCTCTAAACACTGGTCATCTCAGTCACCACTGCCCTGACCAGGCCGCCGAGCCTCTCTGCTTCAGCCTCCCTCTGGTCTTGTCTTCTCTCTTCTTCAGCCATGGTCTGTTCACTTGAGAGAAGCCCCAGGGATCCTCTAGACCCTGAATCAGATTGCGCTGCTTTCTTATTTAATACCCTCCAGGGGCTTCCAGTCTCTCCCAAAATGAAATCTAAAGTTTCCCTGTAGACTTTAAGGTTCTACATGATGCGGCCTCATTCCCCACTGCTCCTTTCTGGCCCTCCTCACCAGCCATACCTCCTCTCTTGCTCATCCATCTTAACTGGTTCCTGTGTTAGGGACTTTGTACTTGCTCATCCCTCTGTCTAGAGTGCTTTTCCCGCCAGATTTTCATCTGGCTGGCTCCTCCCCTCTACTTACCTTTGTCCAAAAAGTCATTTCCTTAGGCCTTTCCTGGGCCATCTTCAAAGTAACCTCCCCAACCCTCTTGTTCTCTAATCCCTACCCTGCTTCATTTTTAGCTATCAACCTTGACGTTATATTGGACATTTCTTTACTGTTTATTTCCCTCATCAAACAAAAGTTTGACACAGATGAGGACTTGTGTTTGTTTTGTTCACAGGAATCCATCAATATTTGTTAAGTGAATGTACAGCAGCACTTTGAGAAAATAAGACCCACTCTACCCACCCCCTCTTCCCATTCCATAGAGGCCAAGGATGAGGTTCCCCCCATCTAAATACAGAGATGATTGATTTAAAGTCCTGGAAGTTAATAATTGATATAAACATTGCTTTCATCTGTCTTCAGGAACAGAATATCTAGGGCAAATGGCAGAGCTGGTAGCTTAGAAGTCTCAGCTGACAGAACAGATACCCTGAAGAACCAGTTGGACCAGTTCTGTCTCCCCTGGAGAGGAAGGAGTGGGGGTGGCTGCTGCAGATGTTCCCAACCCCTCAAGCGGCCAACAAGTGGAATATGGATTCTCTGTACCTCAAGGCTCATGGTGGTGGTTGGGAGCTAGTAGATTCCACCTTGGGGGGGGGGGTCTGACTCCCTACTCACCAAGGGTAGTTGGTGTATGGTCAGGCACAGAATCCCCAACTTCATGACCCTGGGCCCTTTATAGCATCACAGAATAAATGGAGGCCCACAGAAGGAAACAGTCTCATACAAGATCTCATCATGGCAAGGCTAAGTCCAGACCCAGCTCTCCTGCTTCCCAGGTCACTGTTGCCTCAGACCACTTATACATTCACTTGACAAATATTTACTGAGGATCATTACATGCCACTCATGCAGTGGTGATCCCTGGTAAACAAAACCAATAATGATCTGTGGAACTCCAGTGTGGAGGAAGCAAAAGATACAGAGCAAGGTAAATAAGCAAATTAATGTAATATGCCAAAAGTGACAAGTACTGTAGAAAAAAATCGTAGAGGGCCCTCTCTGGTGACACAACGACTTGAAGCTCAGCACTGTGAGGCTATCGCAGCCACTACAGCACAAGTTCAATCTCCAGTCAGGGACCCACATGGTGTGGCAGACCTCTCCTGCCTTGCCCGCTGCTCCCCTCAGCACTGTATTTCGGTGGATCTGCCTGTTTTGCTCCCCACTCTGTCTCTGGTGAATCCTCTCACACACTCTGCACCTATAACCTGTATCCCAATTCTGTATGTACAAGTAAATACATCTTGAAAAAAAAATCATAGAATGTAAGGATTGGAGAGCAGGAGGTAGGGGACAGTTCATAGCATATGGTAGCACAGTGCCTGTTACCTGTTCGGATGAACACATTTGGAGTTACTAGTTCAAATGCCAATCATTAGTTCAAATGCAAAATCCCCTCCAGTGCACTGTCTCTTCTCAGCTCCTCACTTGCCCTTCTCAGGGTCTTCTGGGTCGCCCCTACCCCATTGCTAACTTTGCCGTATTCCTCCAGGAAGGCACACCTGCTCCCAGATCCAGCACACTTCACTTCTTTGTTGTGTGTGTGTGTGTGTGTGTGTGTGTGTGTTCATTCATTCATTTGGATATCGGTACTATAGCATAGTGGCACTCAGGTTATCTTCACATGAAGAATCCCAGCTCTGCCTCTATGTGCTATGTGACCTTGGGCAAGCTGTTCAATTACTCTGTTTCTCCAGAACCTCATGTGTAACTACTTGAACTAACGCATGTAAAATGCTCATCTCTGTGCACTGTCCCTGCTAGGGCCTGCTGAGCACATCACAAGCTTCATGATAACTCCTGTTGCCAACTCCCACACTGTTCCTTCCCTAACTGGGGGCTTCACCCTCCAGTAAGCCTTTCTCACCAGGGATGGGCCCTCAGGTTCCCTTCTAATAGAAGCTGCCCAAAACTTATTTGTAAATCAAACTGGTCTCATTTCTCAAAAAAAAAAAAGTTAATTGAAAGTCCAGTGGTAGACATTTTTAAAGTATATATTTTGCATATTAACCGTTTGTTAGCTATGGAATTTGCCAATATTTTCTCCCATTTTTTGAGTGATTTTTTTTCACTTTTTTTGGGTGTACTTTGATGCACAGAAATTTTTAAAAAATATATTATGACAAGGTTTCATTTTTTAAATTGCTGAATAGTAGTCTGTCATGTATATGTATCATATCTTCTTAACCTGCTTATCTGTTTATTAGCCAATTAGGTTCATTCCATAGTTTGGCTATTATTGTGTTGCAACAAACACAGAAGCACATATATTCCTTCAAATTAGTGTTTTGCATTCTTTGGATAAATACCAAGGAATGGGTTGCTGAATCCTATATGGATGTATATATATACTTATTTATTTCTAAAGACTTATTTATTTATTCATACAGAACTGGATGGAGTACAGGCCAGAAGTGCAGGGGCAGTGAGAGGATTCACCAGAGACAGAGCAGGGAGCAGAACAGGCAGATCGAAGAAGTACACTGCTGAGGAGAGCAGCGGGCAAGGTAGGAGAGGTCTGCTGCCCCATGTGAGTTACCTCTGGGTTGGGGAATCAAATGCAGACTGAAGTGGCTGCTGCTAGCTTCACAGTGCTGCACTTTA